TCCTTTTGTGCATAATTTTATATTATTGTTAATAATAAATTAATTAAAGCAACAAAACAACCTGAAGAGCCGGTTCGGAGCCGAAAGAGCCGCCTCTTTTTAGTGAGCTGAGCCGAAAGAGCCGGCTCTCTAAAAAGAGACGGAAATCCCATCACTACAGTGTGGTCTGTTGTTCATTAATGTAAGTCATGGAATTTAAATTGTGTGGACTGGACTCAGTTTTCAACTCATGCAAGTTTAGATAATAAACAGCGTCTATTTTTCAAAGTCACGCTATTCAAAAATTGGATAACTTCAGGGTCAGCTTTGAAGTTATCTGGATAAGTCAAAAATCCTGTTTCATAGGCCTCTATACTGTGAAGAAAGGCTTTAAGCTTATGTGGGAAACTTCAGGGTTGACCCTGGGTTTTACTTTACAATCACTGTACATTTTCTATACACATGAAGAAACAGTGATATTTCTATATGATTCTTTAATGTCATTTCACTGTACTTACGGAGAGAACTTTGTACCCACACTGAGGCTAATACTGGCTATCCTCACATATTCAGTTTTTTCACCGAATACATCATCTAGTAAACGACTTCATTGTGTATGCCAAATTTTGCTAGTTTTGGTCATGAGTTATTTAAAAATGAATCTGTTCTGTCACGCACAAAGAAATTACTTGATCAACAACTTATAAACAAAGTAACCTTGAGAGCTTAAGTACAACCTGATATCAGATTGCACGCCTAACTTAACCTTTCATACAACTCATAACATGGACGACACAACAGCTCCCCAAAAATGAAGCCAAAACGTCTCTATCGCCCCCTGGTGTCTGGCTGCAGTATAGCTCATAAATCCCACCTCCTCCATGTTAGCGGATGGGACTGGGGTAAGACTAAAATAAAAATTTCTCCAAAGATTCTTTCGTTAACTATCAATAGTTCTCATCATTTATATTCAAGGGGTCTCCTTTCCCATGTTTGATTCTTTGACTGGCAGCTGCAGTCACGGTGAAACTTGTGTTTGGGAACGGCAGATAGAGCAGGCAGATTAAGTTAAAATTTACGTTTAATTTTCCCACTAATTAATTAATTTTTTAGCACCGACTCTGTATTTTTATTTTTATTTTTACAGAGTTTGATTCAGGTTAAAAAACGAATCTGAATTCATGTTAATGGTCACAAAGTTACATGTGCAGCACTCTGGACAGCTTACACCCTTTAAGAGAAATAATTTGTAGCATTATTATTTGTTTTTCAGTACTCAGGCAGCAGCTTTAACACTGCTGTATGTCTGACCACAATGCAGGAACAGACTGAACCAGGACTACAAACCTGCTCCATCTTCTCATCTCTGGAGATTTCCATTTACAAAGCACCAACAACTCAAAGGTAAATATTATATTGGAAAATCTGTTTATATATGTTGTTTATATAGTATGTATGGTATATAAGGCTTTGTCCTTTTTTAAATAAACAGCTCGTATGTCAGCAGAACTTTTCCATTTTTCCATTAATAGAAAAATGATCAACATTATTCATTTCCTGAAAACTGATAGTGAGCAGTTATTCATTTAACAGTATTTATTTATAAGAAACAATATTTTTTATTATATACAAGGACCAATGCATTTTCATTTTAAAATCACAGTACATGTTCATTTAAAAGACAATCCAATGACAATCAGAAAATAAAAAGAGACAGAAATACAAGTTAACATTTAGAATTTGTTTTATTGATTTGGAAAATATTCTCAAACTGCTGAGCAATTTGATTTAAACAGGGCCCAATAAGAAAAGCTGATTGAAAGAGCTTTATATTATAAAGACCCTACAATGCAAGA